GGAAGGACCTAAGTCTCCAAGCAGAACTGTAAGGGGCAGGAAGGAGAGACACCAAGGAAATCACCTTGAAAGTTTCAAGTTTTAAGACCTCACTAATCATTCCCCCTTTTGTTAAAGCATCCTGTTTCCCAAAGCATTTCAACAGACACTTGGATTTGATTTTCATGGGAACCGTATGAGCTGGGCATTTAAAAAAAAAACCCTGCCATAGATGGTGAAACTGAGGCTCCCAGAGGGTGGGAGGGTGGTGGGTATCTGGGGTTGATAATGTGCCTTCAGACAGGACAGGCAGAGCTGCCCCATCGGTGGCCAGCTTCCAGAATTCTCTCCAGCTGGACCTGGCCTCCAGGAAGCTGAGGAGGGGGCCACGATGGGGATGGTTGGGGACGGGGTGAAAGGATGGATGGAGGGGGCAGCCTACTCCAAGCCAGTTTTGGGGAGTTGATGGGTTTCAGCCATGTCCTAGAAGAGGTGGCTCCCAGGATCCAACCTACATGAATCCTGCACAGCCCCCTCTGGCAAAGCTCGTCCTCGCCCTGAGGACCCCTCTGTCCTGTAGCTGAGGTGCCAGATTGGGGTAGACCCCAGACACCTCACCCTCTGTCTTCCTCCTCTTCCCATATCCAAGGTGGGGTTCCCGGGGCCTTCCTCTGCCAGCAGGAAGGGGAAGTGAGCGAGAAAGACAGCAGCTCGACCTGGGACAGTGGCCTAAACATCCCCCTCCATAGGCAGGGGTGCCCCGGGAATCAGAGATGGAAACACACACACTGCTCTCCCCTCCAGCAGGGCCCCTCTTTACTGGAGGCGTCCCTGTTGTTTCTCTTTAGCCCTTAACCTCCCCAAATCTCTGTCTTGGGGAAGGAGAACTCCCTTCCCCAGCCCAGGACGCTGTCAGTAGGACACTCTGGTCAGTGTGTATTAAAGTGTTCTCGGGTGAGCCCCAGAAGAGGGCTCCAGGTGGCCGTGTGGGCCCAGCATGGGTACAGGATTTGGCGCTTGTTGGTGCTGGTGACTTGGATGCCCCTTCTGCTGGACCGGAGCTCCAGCGGCATGCAAAGTGTGACAGCTGGCAAGGGCCAGCAAGCCATTATACGCCTGGCAGGGGCCCCGTGGGCCGGCTCAAGGGGGACAGCTGCCGTGGCCTCCCACGTTCAGGACATTCTTGGGGAGCAACTTGCATCCACCATAACAACCACTCTTGTCTCTGCCTAAAGGGGGTGTGTGTGTGTGTGTGTGTGTGTGTGTGTGTGTGTGTGTGTGACTCCTTTCACCCCAAGGAGGTAGGTGTGTCAGGCTTCCTTTTTCTTTCATAGAAACGTAAAACCTCTCCTGCCTGTTCCCCCAACCCTGCCGCCCACCCCTACTTTGGATGGAGAAGCTGGAACTGTTGCAGTGACAGACCATGGGGCCCCGATGCCTTGGTGAGTGTACAGCACCATCTACCCACTCCGTAGGAACAAACAGGCGGCAAAGCCCCCTGTTGTCCCTGAAGAGACTGTCTTCTTGCAGAAAGCCAGCTAAGTGTAAAAGGTCGTCTTTGCTAAAGTGTCCTATTGAAACTGGCTGGAGTTTAGACCTGTAATGAAAGAACAGAGTTCACTTTAAAGTGCTGCTTTCTTCTAAGAAGAGCAAAATCCTCTGGAAATTGTCCATTACCCAAGAGGTGTTGAAATTTACACTATCGCTATGAGAAGTGGCCGCCCCATCTAACGTTTGCCCTGTATTGGCTTCCCCCATCCCAGCCACACGTAACTCTTCCTGCAACACAGAAGACAGGGAAGGAGCTGCAGAGAGAGGGGCATTGAGCTCCTTTCTGGGTAGAGGAGACGAGTAGAGAGAGAAGACTGGGAGGAGGAGGTGACTTACCCTTTGGTAAGTGTTCTTGGATGGAGCAGAGCTCCTTAGACACATTTGGTCCCCTCTCACTTGGGGACCATCTGAACAGACTCTAAGTCATAGTTCGAAACAGTTCAGATTAAATAAAGATTCCTGC